GCTCTTGCTATCTCTCTCTCTCTCAAATAAATAAAATCTTTAAAAAAAACAAAAACAAAATCAAAGGCGGTGTTAAGTGTCAGAAATTAGAGAAAATGAAGATGTAATTTCTCCCTCATCCAAATTCACAGATGCTCTCAGTTCTGTCTGTGGACCTCAGGTTAAGAACTGCTGGATTAGATGGAACCACCCAGGAAAAACACATCCCCGAAAGGAAGGGGGAACTTGCTTAGAGTGAGACAACTCCACAATTTTAGGGTAAAGGTACGCTGAGTGTGAAATAAGGATGAATCAGTAGCTACCTGGTGAAGCTGAAAGAGCCACTTAAGAGACGGTTGGGAAAATATTAATTTACACTGAAACACAAATAGATGATAGTAAGGGATTATTGGGGTTCTTTTAGGTATGATTAAAATTGTTAAAATGAAAAGTCTTTTCTCTTAGAAATACATGAATATGTATATATGACTTAAGATGTCTTGGATTTGCTCTAAAATGATTGGAGATGAGAGAAGAAAAGTAGAGATGCAACAAGATTGATGATAATTGTTGAAACTGGTTGATGGATAGATGAGGGCTCATTAAACCACTTTTTCCCATTTATATGTTTGAAATTATCCATAATAAAAAGTTTTAAAAACATAGTAAATAAAATTAGCTATTTGTAAAGTGTAAAGAGTCCGTATTTGGGTAGACTGAGGAAGCAGCACACAAGGTCAAGACAGCTAATGCGTTACTGTGGCGAAGTGTGATTGTAAGACCATATGACATGGAGCTGGGAAAGAAGGCTGCTGGGACAGTTATCATATCGCTTCATCTTAGTGAAGAGCTACAATTAAACTCTTAAGGAGGGAAGCGGTAAACATTAAGCTTAAGAGTCATTGTTGATCCAATGGAATATTATGCAGCCATCAAAAAAGACATCTTGCCATTTGCAACAACATGGATGGAGCTGGAGGGTATTATGCTGAGCGAAATAAGTCAATCAGAGAAAGACATGTATCATGACCTCACTGATACGAGGAATTCTTGATCTCAGGAAACAAACTGAGGGTTGCTGGAGTGGTGGGGCTGGTAGGGATGGGGTGGCTGGGTGATAGACATTGGGGAGGGTATGTGCTACGGTGAGCGCTGTGAATTGTGCAAGACTGATGAATCACAGACCTGTACCTCTGAAATAATACATAATACATTATATGTTAAACATATAACACATGTAATACATTATATGTTAAACATATAACAAATAATACATTATATGTTAAAAAAAAAGAAGATAGTAGGAAGGGAAAAAGGAAGGGGGGGAAATTGGAAGGGGAGATGAACCATGAGAGACTATGGACTCTGAGAAACAAACTGAAGGTTTTAGAGGAGAGGGGGATGGGGGATGGGTTAGCCTGGTGATGGGTATTAAGGAGGGCACATATTGAATGGAGCACTGGGTGTTATATGCAAACAATTAATCATGGAACACTACATCAAAAACTAATGATGTAATGTATAGTGACTAACATAACATAATAAAATAAAATTTTAAAAAATGATAAAAGAAAAAAATGAGGTTTATCCCTACCTGATACTTTATGCAAAAATTAACTCAAAATGAGTCAATGATCTGTAAAGCTCTTATAAGAAAGCCTAGAAGTAAATGTTTACAACCTTGTGTTTGGCAATGATTCTTAGACTCCAAAAGCACAAACAACAAAAGAAAAATAGGTAGATTGGATTTCATAAAAATTAACATTATCATTATCAAGGAAGTTAAAAGACAACCTACAAATGGATGAAAATATTTGCAAATCATATATCTGAAAAGGGCTTACTATCCAGAATATATAAAGAACTCCTACATCTCAATAACAAGATGATAAATCATAAAAAATCAGCAAAGAACTTGAATACCTATGTGGAGAAATTGAAACACTTGTGCATTGATGGTGAGAGTAGAAAGTGGTGTAGCCACTGTGGAAAACAGTTTGGCAGTTCTTCAAAAATCTGAACAGAATTGCCATATGAACCAGCAATTCCCTTCCTAGGTGCACACTATAAAAAATTGAAAACAGGGACTTCAACAGGTAGTTGTACATTGATGTTCATGACAGCATTATTTATAATAGCCAAAGGTGAAACAATCCAAGTATCCATCAACAGATTAATGGATAAACAAATACGTTATATATACACAACGGAATATTATTTATCCAGAAAAAAAGAATGGCACATCGTACAACAGAAATAAACCTCAAAACAATTGTGCTAAATGAAATAAGACAGGCACAGAAGGACAAATGTATAAATCACCTTCTATGAAATATCTAGACTAGGCAAATTAATGGAGATAGAAGGTAGATTAGAGATTATTAGAAGGATAAGAGGGAAGGGGAGAATGAGGAATTATTGCTTAATGGTTATAGAGTTTTTGTCTGGGGTGATGAAAATGGAAATTGTTGTGATGATTTTGAAACATGATGATGGTAATTAACCACTGAATTGTTTGTCTCCAAATGATTAAAATGGCAAATTTTGTATTGTATATTTCTTACCACAATAAATATATTCAAAACTGTTTCCAACTATCATTGTGAATTGTGTATCTAATTTTGTCAAATTTGTTTCATGTGTTTTGTAATTTTTTAAGTGTATATACATTTGACATTTTCAGCATTATTTCTGGAAATGTATTCTGTTTTGAAATTTATTTTATTTGATATTAATATAAAGACTGCAGTGTTCTTATTACTATATGAATTGTATATCTTTTTCTATCAGTTTACTTTCAACATATAGTATTTTAAGTATGATTCATGACAGCATATAGTTTCTTTTTTTAACCTATTCTGATAATCTCTATTATTTGATAGAGTGTTTGGGCTATTAGCAATTAATTTGATTAATTGTGGTTGTTGTTATGGTTTTGTTTCAGTCTAATATTTTTTTTGTTTTCTATCTTATTTCTTGGGTGATGATAATGATCATGATATGGGATCATTTGTTTGGGATGATTCTTAACAAAGAATCACTTGTTAAAATATTCTCTAAATTTCAGGGTATGCTTTTGGTTTTCTTAAGTTTTGTTTTTGTTTTTTGTTTTTTCCCCCACAAATTCTTATTGCTCCCATAATCTAATCTGACTCTCTGTTTCTTAGGTTTGGGAGAAAGTTGATTCTCAGATGGTGTCTCCTACAGCTTACCATCTTTGGGACCAGTTCAGCTTTTGCTCCCACCTTCCTCATTTACTGCTCACTACGCTTCTTGTCAGGTTGTTCTTCCATTGTCATCCTGACAAATGGTGCTATGCTCAGTAAGTCAACAATTTTGATCTTCTCCATTTTCCAAGCCTTGACTTTGACCTTGGAATTTCACCTTTATCTGACATTAATATCCCAGTTGGGTTTTCTTTCAGTCATAGAATGGATAAGGCCCCCATCTAAAGTCATGGCAATAACACTGATAACTTGTGCCTTAAGTATGGGACAGATACTATTGGGAGGACTGGCATTTGCCTTTCGAGAGTGGTGCACTCTGCAGCTGGTGGTGTCTGTACCTTTCCTTGTCTTCTTTCTCTCCTCAAGGTATGGCCTTCTTTCTCATTTTGCCTTATGGAAACCTGGGAAGAAAATGAGGACTGAATTGGGATATATTGATTTTCTTATTTCCTGGACCCTTTCTTTTTTTTTTTTTTTTAAAAAAAAAAGTATTCTCTTCCTTTATTTCATACAATCAATAGAGGAGAAAAAATGTTGGCAGGGGAGGGGGGAGGATACAATACATGTGACTATTCATAGAGATTCTCATGGCTACTATGCATTATAATATATACTGAAAAGTCTCACAACTTTCCTGGACCCTTTCTTATTGTCTGGACCTAAAACTCATGTTTCTCATCTGTTCAGGCTATGTAGTTTGATAAGCAGAACAGGAAGTAGTAATGACATTTCTGTGTGGGATTCCTAGGTATTTTTTGTTTTGTTTCGCTTTAAGTCTTACCCAGTATAGTGGTCATAGAGTTATTCCAATATTATTTCCTTAATATAGAATATAGACTCAAATATTTCAAAAAGAAATACTTTTAATTCTTTTTTTGGTTTTGGGATGAATCAGGTTATGGTAGTTTTTAGATTTTCATTTTTGTAGGTGAAGTTGGATAAAAGGAATAAGGCAGCAAATTTATTCATAAAAGAGCAGCATGGTTTCTTCAGTACTAAAGATTGGCATGCAGATTGGATGATTGACATCATGTGTTTAGCACTCCCTTTTCCCTTAAATAATTTTAACAAACATTTATTTATGGATAACTTCATCCCTGTACTTAAAACCATCTAAAGGAGAGTGTGTCATGGAGACACACTATAGATTTAATACAATGAGATGAGTTCAGAGAGAGAGAAGAGTGTAATCCATGCCAGACTCAGTTCAGAGAGAGAGGAGAGTGTAATCCATGCCAGACTCACCCATTATGTCATTATATGCTACAAGGAAGATGGTACTACTGTCCCCATTTTATTGATGAGAAAACTGAAGCAGATGTAAATAAGTGACTGACTTATGTGTAAATTACCAACATAGCTGGTAGTGGCAGGAGTACTTCTAATCTTTGTTGGGCTTTAAGCTTACATAATCTGGGGACTTCTTTTTTTTTTAAGATTTTATTTATTTATTTATTTATTTGAGAGAGAGTGAGAACTAGAGAGAGAGAGAGCACACACACACAGGGAGAAGGGGAGAGAGAAGCAGACTCCCCACTGAGCAGGGAGCCTGATGCAGGGCTCGATCCCAGGAACCTGGGATTATGACCTGAGCCAAAGGCAGGTGCTTAAACGACTGAGCCACAGGTGCCCGGGGCTTCTTTTTTAAAAAGACTATATATTATGAGCACAAATTTGATAGAACCATGACAAGCTTTGGAAAGGAATTCTGCATGAGGAACTCTCAAGCTTAAGCTTCATACCTTCTTTGAAAATCTGTTGAGTAAGCAGAGAGGTGAGTTCCCTCCAAAGTCTGTGTTCCTGACCATGAAGATGTACTGCAATGGATTTGTCTTGCTTATATCTTCCTAGTATTTGTGAAACAAAACTTGAGTTTCTATTCCTAACCCAACAAGTGGTGGATATTAGATGGAAGGCAAAAAGCATCTGTAGTCAATAATCATATGACAAATAAACAAGAGAGAGTTGATTGCACTTGTGTGCTCTCCTTCCATCAGGCAGATAGTGGAATCTGCTCGATGGCTGATTGTCAACAATAAACCAGAGGAGGGCTTGAAGGCACTTAGAAAAGTTGCACACACAAATGGAATTCAGAATGCTGGAGATGCCCTGACCTTGGAGGTGAGCAGGAAATGGAAGGTGGTTACTGGGTTAGAGGGAAGACATAAGCTGACTCCACCTTCTTCTTATTGAGATAGACAAACTGTTTTCCTAAAAAGGGCAGCCAAGATGGTGAGTTCAGTTCCCTAGCCTTTCATGGCCACCTTACACAGAAGCTGTTTTGAGCACTGTGCAACCACCGCTTCCTTTAGTTCACTTCCTGATCTGAATCTATAATCTATAACTCTCATGCACGGCCTGCACCTTTCCATGGCCTCATTTTCTTTTCCTTTTTCTAAATTTTTATTTAAATTCTGGTTAGTTAACATATAATGTAATGTTGGTTTCAGGATTCATATGACACCCCATGCTCAACACAACAAAGGCCCTCCTTAATATCATTTTTGCTGCCGAGGTCAAAGAGGTTGCTGCCTGTATGCTCCTCTAGGATTTTGATGGATTCCTGTCTCACATTTAGGTCTTTCATCCATTTTGAGTTTATTTTTGTGTATGGTATAAGAAAGTGGTCCAGTTTCATTCTTCTGCATGTGGCTGTCCAACTTTCCCAACACCATTTGTTGAAAAGACTGTCTTTTTTCCATTGGATATTCTTTCCTGCTTTGTCAAAGATTAGTTGACCATAGAGTTGAGGGTCCATTTCTGGATTCTCTATTCTGTTCCATTGATCTATGTGTCTGTTTTTATTGAAATCTTGATATTTACAAGGATGTGGATGGAACTAGAGGGTATTATGCTAAATGAAATAAGTCCATCAGAGAAAGACAAATACCATATGATTTCACTCATATGTGGAATTTAAGAAACAAAACAGATGAACATAGGGGAAGGGAAGGAAAACTAAAATAAGATGAAAATTGAGAGGGGGACAAACTGTAAGAGATGCTGAACCCTAGGAAACAAACTGAGGGTTGCTGGATGGGGGTGGGTGGAGGGAGGGATAACTGGGTGAAGGGCATTAAGGAGGGCACTTGATGTAATGAGCACTGGGTATTCTATGCAACTGATGAATCACTAAATTCTACCTATGAAACTAATAAAAAATATCATTTTTGCTGTTTAATATCCTGGAGTCTCCTTTAACTTTCTACATCTTCTTTTATATCCCTTTCACACTTGTGATTTCATGTATAATAAGTTATGCTGGAAAGAAAGGGAGCATATCTCTCCTGTCCTGTTGGGTGCTGGGGCTCACCATAATGCCTGGCACTGTGTTGGCAAATGAAACATGTTTGTTGCTGTTTAAGAGTTTGAGATCCAGCATGCAAGATGAGCTGGAGGCAGCACAGACCAAAGCTACTGAGTTTGACTTGTTCCGCACCCCCAGCTTGCGTAAGAGAACCTGTCTCCTGCTATTTGTGAGGTGGGTTTCACATAGTGCATGACAACCTTAAAAAGGGGAAACATGAATCTTTAAATATTTATTTCAAAGGTTCTAACAGTGTTGTGGGGGTGGGTGTGCTGACTTGGATATAAAAGATAAGGAAAACAGACTGAATACTGCTGTACTGGGAGATGGGCAAAAGGTTATAAAAAGACTCACCATATGATGAGGAGTTAATTGTGTCGTATTATTCCATAGTCTCATCCCTGGAGATTGATGCTGGGACTTCCACCACAGTACAGACTTGGCATTTAGTTTCCTTCATTTTTTTCTTCCAATTTTTTTTTCAAATTTTTATTTAAATTCTACTTAGTTAACATACAATGCAATAAAATCTTACTAACACTAATATGTTAGTAATAGATTGTGAATAGATTGTGAATATATACAGCTCAATAAACACTTCAGTGTGTGAAAATGTAACCAGCACCTGGATCAAGAAAATCTTAATTCCTCAGAAGTTCCCTTCATAGATCCCCTACAGTGAGAACCACCATTACACTGGCTCCACTCTCATTTCCTCCTCACTGCTTGCATGCCCATTAAACTTACCAACTGTCCTGCTCCCCATCACCACTGAGAAGTATTGCCTAGTCTTGACTTCCACATGATATAAATAATAAAATGGTTTTGTGACAGCACCCTCTCCTCAAGCTTATTTATGTAAGATTCATCCATGAGATGAACACCCTACAATTTCTTGATGTACTTCAATATCGCTGAACTTGTACTTGTTTCCAATTTGGGGTGTTAGCACTAGGAATTCCCTACAAAATCTTGTACTTTATCTCTTGAAGGGTATAAGTACTTACTTTGGTAGGGTTGGGGGGATTTTAAATTTAATTCTGAATTTTTGAAGATTTACCAAAAAAAAAAAAAGCATATAGAACAATATATACCCACTGCCAAGCTTAAGAAAGTAACTATTGAATTTTACTATTTACCTCTTCCTAGACATATCCTAGGAGACTATGTCTTCATTTCACTGGATTGTGATTTTTCACTTTTCTCTTATCAACTAGGTCACAGGCTCAAGTTTCTGAGTCCTAGACAACTTGAGCAGAAAGAAAAGTAGAGAAAATTGTCAAGAAAGGACTTACTTGGTTAGAATTGCTGTGATCTGTGGTGGTTTCTTGGGCTGTAATGTCTAAATGTAGCTCTCTCTGGGTATAGCAGATCACTAAAGTGGACTCCTCTCCCTTAGATACTTTCTGGGTGAATTGTAGATCCCCAGTGGGAACCTCTGATTATATTTCCTATTGTATAGTTGGTGCACATTTGCTTGAATTCTGACATCTTCTCTTAGCCCTAGAAAATCATATGTGGGCCTTAAATTCCCTAGAACTGTGTCACACCTCAGGACATGGTGCCCCTAGATAAAGGGGACTTGGGTAGTCTCTTTGCAGCTCAGTCACTGGTTGATCAAGTTGAGCAAGAACTAATTGAGTTTTTCACAGTATTGGGGTTGAAAAGAGAAGGAGGACTCACAGCATACTGACTACCCTCAAAAAAGATATCCTTCCCCCCAGGTTTTAATCCTTCTCTATATCATTCAGTTTGGTGATTGGGACAGGTTATATTTCCCAGTCATTGCCAACTCTTTACTTAGGGACTCAGATGAAAGAACGACAGAAGGAGTATTGTTTTTATATATTGCCAGGCAATTATTTGTAGTAACTTTAAAATTATACCTTAAAATAATGTATTATACAAATCAGACTGGGCCTTTGTTCTTTAACACTGACCACTAGCTGTCTGGGTCAATATAGTCATCAACTGCAGCATGTAGGCTTTAAATCTTATGGCATGTGTCTTTCCTCCTTTGTTCATTACAAATTTGCAATCACAATACCCTTTTATGGCATCATGATCAATCTACAGTACTTTGGGAGCAATATTTTCCTGTTCCAGGTAGTCTTTGGAGCTCTCACTGCCATAGTCCGATGTCTTCCTCTTTTAGTACAGAATCATATGGGCCGTCGAACAACCCAGACACTTTTCATGTTCCTGGTGGGACTTTCTGTTTTGGTCAACACCTTTGTGCCCCAAGGTGAGAGAAGGCTGGACTTTGGGGGGAAAGAGGTGTCTTTTCCCCATCCTTTAGGGATTGTATTGGTCACACTTGCTTGAGGCTGAGTAAAGAGAAGTGCCAATTAAGAGCTAAATATTCCCCCAAACCAATCTGAGGGTTTAAAGCAAATCCTGCTAAGAAGCTAACTCTAGGACTGGTTTTTCTGGTGATATTTTCAGAATATGTGGCTAATAGTGTCCATTCTATTCTTTGGTCTAAATTATCTAAAAATTTAAGGCAATAATAACTCCAATAATAACTCCAGTATTTTCACTCTAATGATCTCATTTAAGCACAAAGCAGAATCCAGGGTCTAACTTGCCAATTTTATGCCTCTCTGTTCCACAATGTATAATAATCTAGAGACAAAGTGAGGGATACCAATCACTGCTCCTCTATAATGTACACACCACAAAGAGTCGGCTCAATCACAGAACTGTCCAGAATGAAGTTCTCCCTTTATAGAAGAGAGCTGTCATTATACAATTGTCATTACTAACTTTTCACCACTTTGCATGGGAATGTGTATTTGTATGACAGTAAAAGTGATTAAATAACTAAGTGGAAAAAATAAGTTGTTGGGAAAAGAGCCAAAGGTTCACAAGGGGCAGCTCAGACATATATTTCTCTTCATCACGTCCTGGAAGTATCTAGAAACTGGTGCCATTTATTCTTGACAGTTTCTTTAGGATAGCAATCGATCACTTGCATTTTGGCCTTTCACATTTTTAGTAACAAGCATGAAGGGCCTAGGTTTCGCAATTACATCTCATGTGAGGACACAGTGTGATCACTTGCTCTACTTGGGCTCTTCATTACCAGCTTTGATGACTGTCTACTTCCTGATTGCTCTGTATCCACATGTGAGTGTGGTGTTAGGTCATCATCACAATAGCTCTTGCTTATGGGAGTCTTCTTGACTTCCAGGAAATGTAAATTTCCCCCTTTTTTCAAGTAGTGAAGGAGTATACAATAGGAAAAAGGAATTAAGCAGATTAAAAACCTAGTATCGCATGGAACACTGGGTGTTATACACAAAAAATGAATCATGGAACACTGCATCAAAAACTAATGATGTACTGTACTGTGACTAACATAACGCAATAAAAAAATAAAATAAAAGCCTAGTCCATTCCAGTTAGATGACTTTGTAAGTTAATAGAATGATGGTATGTGATGACCGGGAGAACCTTAGTGGGCACTAAGCTTCAGGTATGTCCCAATGCAGGAATATACCTTACAGCATTACGGGTTGGTAGACTTTACTCCTTAGAATATCATTAATGATACAGGCTTACTCCCTTACAATAGAGTCTTTTCCAATATTATAAAGCTATAATTAGATTTCTTTTTAAATTTTTTAATAATTTTTTATTGTTATGTTAATCTATAATTAGATTTCTTTTTATATTGGGCAGAAAATCAATTATCTGAAATTTTCCTTTATTGGTTCCCAAATTCTGACATTTTTTTCCCAAATAGAAGTTTCCATTCTTGGTTTCTTATGTCTAACACTCTTCTAGATATGGCTTCTCTTCAGCCTGTCTACTAAAAGAATAGTCTTGTTTTTTACTACTCTATCATGCCATACCCACCCCATGACCATGCGATATCTATACTAGGTTGACTGACACATCCAGGCTTACCTGGGATTTTCCTGGTTTTATCAATGAAAATCCCGATTGCTAAAACCCCCTAATTCCCAGGAAAACCAGGATCACTTGTCACTTTAAATTCTGCACTTTAATTTTAAAGTTTGGACAACTCTAAAGTTGTCAAGTTTAGAGCTGAGTCTTAGACTCAGTAATTGTCCACATGACTGTCCCACCTTCTACAATAAGGATATAATACTGGACAGAGTCAGTAAAAGCAAATTTCTGTCAGATTCACCTCTTCCTCTCCTTCTTTAGAAAATCTCAGATATGCACAGAGATTTGCTGCAATTAACCCAGATAATTTTATGGGCTTTCTAGCACCTATGTTGACAAGTCTACATTTCTCAGCTTATCAACCACTCCGTGCTCTCTGACACTATAGACTTTTCTACAATATAGCTCAAACAAACCAATAACCTACAAGGTTTTTTTTTTTTTTTCTGGTTAAATTTGGTGGATGCTGATTCCTTCGGCCCAAATTTCTTAGTCTCACTGGTCTTTCTGTCTCTAGAAATGCAGACCCTGCGTGTGTCTTTGGCAAGTGTGGGAATCAGCTTTTCTGCTGCTTCTGTCACAAGTTTTTCTGTCCACCTCATTGAACTCAACCCCACAGTCCTCAGGTATGAGTTTTTGAATGTTCTGCCAGGGCATAAAACAGGACATTCTCAGCTAATTGGCACTTATTGCAGGAATAAACACAATAAGGCCTATTTATTATAGGGGTGCCTGGGTGGCTCAGTTGGTTGAGTGTCTGACTCTTGATTTTGGCGCAGGTCATGATCTCAGGTCATGAGATAGAGCCCTGCATAGGGCTTCATGCTGAGCATGGAGCCTGCTTGAGAATCTCTCTCTCTCTCTCTCTCCCTCTGCCCATCCCTTCCCACACACTTTCTCTCAAAAAGAGACCTGTTTATTATAAAAGCAATCATTTGTAATTGTAACTGTAATAATACACTAACAATATTTTAGCCAAAGTTTATTGAAAGCTGACTTTGTGCCATGCACTGTGCTGAGCAATACTTTAATGCATCATCTCATTAATCTTTCAGACAACTCATCAGGGTAGGTGCAAGTAATAATATTTTGTGTAAAATTATGAAAATGAGTCTTAACATACTTTGAGCCTGACAAAGACAGCTAGAAAATCATAGAGCAAATCTAAAAAACAAGTGTTTTTCATCAAAGCCCATGTACTTAATAATTGTGTTCTAGCGTCTTCCATCTTTTATCAAGTCAAAATAATGTATCTCAAATTACATTCATAGATTTTTACCAGATTATTATGTATTGTTGTTTACTCCTCAGGGCAAGAGCTTTAGGACTAGATACAGTGGCTAGTAGGTGTGGGGCAACACTGGCTCCCCTCTTGATGACCCTAATAGCCTATCTTTCCACTTTGCCCTGGATCATCTATGGAGTCTTTCCCATCATTGCTGGTCTTGTTGTCCTTTTCCTACCTGAAACAAGGAATCTTCCTCTGCTTGACACCATCCATGATGTGAAAAATAAGTGAGTAAATCTTCTAGCCATCTCCTGGGAGGAACTGTGTGCCTGAGGTCTGTGGGTGAGAAAGGCAAAACACCACACGAGTCCTTCAGATCACTGAGAAGTTTCAGCTTTGCCTGGGATACTTCCATCTCAGGCCACTGCCTTTCATTAGTGGCAGGGTCACTTCTATCCCCTGTGAGTTCCAATCTAGATTGCAGAAATCCCCTCTGCCCAGATCTCATCAGTAGTTTCAGTGGTGAAGAGATGAAAATTGGCTCTGTTGTGATGGCACACACATTCATGATGGTATTTCATGATTCTGAGATCCACAGGAGACTCGGATATGAAGGGGAAGGAAATGCCATGGCTAATGAAGGAATAATGTTAGGAAGATCACACAAAGTTAATACTTTTTTGAAAAGATAATAAAAGAAAGAAATCTTGTTTAGGTGCCTTGGTATTCAGAGAATTTTGCTGCTACAAGTGATGGAAAGATTGAGGATAGAGAAAATAAGAAACTAGCAAAATATTTTAAATGAGAAAAAATGGTAGATTAGTTTCCTAGGGCTTCCATAATCAAGTTCCACAAATTGAGTGACTTAAACAGCAGAAATTTATTTCCTTAGAGTTCTGGAGGCTGGGAGTCTGTGCTTAAGTGTCAGCAGGGCCACATTCCCTCTGAAGGCCTTAGGGAAAGGTCTGTTCCAGGCCTCTCTTCCAGCTTCTGGTGTATCTTTGGCTTGTGGCAACACAACTCCAATCTTCACATGGCATTCTCCCAGGCATGCCTTTGTGTTGAAATTTTCTCTTTTGTGATACCAGTCATATTGATTAGGGGCCCATCCTACTCCAGTATGACCTCATTTTAACTAATTATATCTTCAACAACTATATCTGAATGTGATAATTTCACATTCTGAGATACTGAGAGTTAAAACTTCAATGTAGTAATTTGGGAGGGGGCAACACAATTCAACCCAAACAAATGGAGAGTTCCCTTAAGATTGTCAATCCACTTCTTGACTTTCCAAAGATGTCACTGGCCAGAGGTCTGAAAAGACCAAGTGAGAGTAGCAACTTTTAAAACTGCTTTCTTGGGTCTTATTGCAGGAATTTCTCAGATCTGCACAGGCAGCAAGGACTTTTCCAACATTAATATCAATGTGTCATGAATTTTATTGGATTATAAAAAGCCAATAGTTGGAGGATCAATTTGTGCTTGTGCATGGAAAGCACACAAACTTATTTTTATCTTTTCTGTTTTTAATATTTGTTTTTGTTTGTTGATTGGTTGATTTATTGGTTGGTTGTTTCTGTTTTGTTTTTCCAGCAAAGAATTCTCAAGAAAAGTAAATGAAGTAAATGAAATAAATTCCTCTGTAAAAGTGACAAAAGTTTAAGGTGTTTTCATGAGCTGATTGGTGAGGAAAAGAAAACTATGAAAGAAAAATAAAACACAGGAATTTTCTTTTATATCTACAAACTAGCAAGAAAATATACTGGAAAATGAATCTCATTTGCATTTATGGTATTATTTTGCAGTTAAAGAAATAATTTGTGGGAACATGTAATTCTATGAACAAACTAATCTTTTTGGAAAGTAGTTGAAAGTTTCAAATTTATTGGCAAATTATTATTAATACACAAGATGATTCAGAAACAAAGGAAAACCACAGAATTAAGATGTAGCTGGCTGAGAGAGAGAAAAAAGATTACATGGGTGATGGGTATTAAGGAGGGCACTTGTTGTGATGAGCACTGGGTGTTGTATGTAAGTGTTGAATTACTATATTGTACACCTGAAACTAATATCACACTGTATGCTAACTAACTGGAATTTAAATAAAAACATGGAAAAAAAAGAAAAGGAGGCAGACAATTTATTTGAAAAAATAATAGCTGAAAACTTCTCAAATCTGAAGGAAACAGATATCCAGATCCAGGAGGCACAGAAATTCCTACCCACCCCACCCCAAATTCAACCCCGGAAGTCCACACCAACACACATAGTAATTAAAATGGCAAAAAGTAGTAGTAAAGAAAAAAAATTAAAGCAGCAAAGCAAAAAGAAGATAGTTACATACAAGGGAAACCCCATCAGGCTATCAGTAGATTTTTCAGCAGAACCTTTGCAGGTCAGAAGAAAGTGACATGATATGTTCAAAGTACTGAAAGGGAAAAATCTGCAGCCAAGACTACTGTATCTAGCAAGGCTATCAATCAGGATAGAGGGAGTGATAAAAAGTTTCCCAGACAAACAAAAACTAAAGGAGTTCATGACCACTAAACCAGCCCTGCAAGAAATATTAAAGGGGACTCTTTGAGTGGAAAGGAAAGACCATAAGTAAGATTATGAAAAGTAAAAAACACAAAAGCAGTAAAAATAAGTATTCTGCAAAAATCAGTCAAGAGATTTATAAAATAAAGGTTGTAAAATATGACATGACATACTTAAAACATGGGTTGGGGGAGGGGAATAAAGAATGGGTTCAAATTTAAGCAACTAGCTACTTAATATAGACTGCTATATGCAGAAGATGTTGTATACAAACCTAATGATAATCACCATTCGAAAACCAGTAATAGATATGCAAAGAATAAAGAGAAAGGAATTCAAGTATATCACTATAGAAAGCCAACAAACCATGAAAGAGAACAAGAGAAGAAAGGATCAGAGAAAATCTATAGAAACAACCACAAAACAAGTAACAGAATGGCAATAAATACACACCTATCAATAATTACTTTGAATGTAAATGGACTAAATGCTCCAGTCAAAAGACATAGGGTGACAGAGTGGATAAAAAAAGTGATCCATCTATATGCTGCCTACAAGAGACTCATTTCAGACTGAAAGACACCTGCAGATTGAAAGTGAGGGGATGGAGAAATATTTATCATTCACATGGACATCAAAAGAAAGCCAGGGTAACAGTACTTATATCAGACAAAATAGACTTCAAAACAAAGACTGTAACAAGAGAAAAAGAAAGGTACTATATAATAATAAAGGGGACAATCCAACAAGAGTATATAAAAATTGTAAATATGCACCCAATATGGGAACATCCAAATACATAAAACAGGTAATGACAAACGTAAAGGAAATAACTGATACTAATACAATAACAGTAGGGGACTTTAATACCCCACTTACATTGATGGATAGATCATCTAAATGGAAAATCAACAAGGAAACAGTGGCTTTGAATGATACACTGGACCAGGTGGCTTTAACAGACATATTCAGAACATTCCATCCTAACACAGCAGAATACACATTCTTTTTCAAGCACATGGAACAAGTTTCAACAAATTCAAAAAAATTGAACTCATACCATGCATCTTTTCTGATCACAATGCTCTGAAATTAGAAATAAACCACAAGAAAAATCTGAAAAGAGCACAAATACATGGAAGTTAAATAACATGCTACTAAGCAATGAATGGGTAGACCAAGAAATTGAAGAAGAAATAAAAAATTACATGAGAACAAAAGTGAAAACACAGTGGCCCAAAATCTTTGGGATGCAACAAAAGTGATTCTAATAGGGAGGTTTATAGCAATACAAGCCTACCTCAAGGAGCAAGAAAAATCTCAAATTGAAAACCTAACCTTACACCTAAAGGAGCTAGAAAAAGAACAAACAAAACCCAAACCCAGCAAAAGGAAAGAGATAATAAAGATCAAGCAGAAATAAATGACAGAGAAACTAACCCCCCACAAAAAAACCAGTAGAACAGATCAAGGAAACCAAGAGCTGATTGTTTGAAAGATCAACAAAATTGATAAACCTCTAGCCAGACTCATCAAAAAGAAAGAGGACCCAAATAAACAAAATCACTAATGAAAGATGAGAAATAATCAACACCACAGAAATACAAACAATTGTAACAGAATATTATAAAAACCTATATGCCAACAAATTCAACAACTTAGAAGAAATGAATAAATTCCTAGAAGCATATTATCTACCAAAACTAAAGTAGGAAGAAATAGAAAATTTGAACAGACTGATTACCAGCAATAAAATTGAATCAGTAATCAAAAAACTCCTCAAAAAACAAAAGTCCAGAACCAGATGGCTTCACAGGTGAATTCTACCAAACATTTAAAGAAGACTTAATACCATTCTCAAACTGTTTCAAAAAATAGAAGAGGGAAGAAAACTTCCAAATTCATTCTATGAAGCCAGTATCACCTTGATACCAAAACCAGATAAAGCACCACAAAACAAAACAAAACAAAAAGAGAGAGAGAGAGAAATACAAGTCAATATCTCTGGTGAATATAGGTTTGGGTTTCAAGTTCAGATGGCAGAGTAATAGGGGGATCCTATGCTTGCCTCATCCCTCAAACACAGCCAAATAAATATCAAATCATTCTGAACACCCCAAGAAATTGATATGAAGACTGAGAGAACAAACTGCTCAGCTAGAGGGAGAAAAATGGCCACATCAGAAGGTAGGAGCTCTGGAGAGTTGATTTGGGGGAGGAAAGAATTGTGGGTGCCAGGGAGGGGAGGGAGCCCTCATCATGGAGAGATGAGCGCAAGAGGGGAGAGAGAGAGAGCGCGCGCATGCAGGGGATTGGACAAGAAAAACTCTTCTCCAAAACCACTGACTGGGAAAAGGAGAGGGGTTGACTACCACAAGTCTTTAGAAGCAGCAAGCTCAAAATCTGAAGTTTTAGAAGTTGCTAGGGTCCTGCCTGGCAGACCTAGCCGTGCTCCAGTGAGGGAGGAGAGTGGAGACACGGGAGTGACCCCGTGCTCCTGAGGAGGCCTTGGGTCGCTCGGGAGAAACAGTTCCCCTTCTTGGAGTGCATTTGGGAGAGGTGGCACTGCCTCTCAGGGGACAAAGGAGAAGGCAGGTGCCCTGGAGGGGCGCCACACCCGGGCCCCAAATTTTGGAGTTTTGGAACCCAGCCCGGCATAAACCATAAAACACAGAACTGTGCTGCCTGGTGGGCAGACAGCTCAGACACAGACAGGGTGAAGGCAGGGATCTGATGGAAGCTGGGGACACAAGAGGGGAGATTGTTCGCTCTTCTGTGAGGGTTTCCTAAACAGCAGCGAATGGGAACGCCCTGCTCCTGGGATGAGAGAGCAATCCTGTCCCTCCCCTCCCCCATCAACACAGATCAGATTTCAGTGAGCAGCACAGCACCCTCAGTGAGGCCTTGGCTGCTTACACCAAGCACTGTGTCCTGCAGGTGCATCTTTACTAGGGCAAGTCAGCCAGAGAACCATCATAGCAGGCCCCTCCCCTAGAAGACCAGCACAAAACCCCTGCACACGCTAAGTTTACTGATCATAGAGTGCTGCTGCAAAGCTTCAGCTTTAGGGGAAATAGGATCTAGCTTTTTTTAACAAGCAGACCAAAACACACCTAGTTAAAACTTGCCATGCAGTTGACAAGGTCTAAACCCTCCTCGCTACAGGCAAGGAGAAACTCTGAAGAGGACTGACTCAAGGGAAGGAGCAGGCAAAACACAACAGCAGAATGCAAACTCTGAAACACTTCCTGAAGCATCAGGCCTAAGACAGTATAGGACTTCTTAATACAGCCATTACTCTCAGGAGCGGGAATATAACAGGCTTTCCTAACACACACAGTGACCTAGACAAAATGACAAGATGGAGGAATTCACCCCAAAAGAAAGAAGAGGAAGAAATTACTGCCAGGGATTTAATCTGATGAATATAGATGTAAAAATTCTTAATAAAATATTAGCAAATCAAATTCAACAATACATTAAAAAATCATACACCACAATCAAATGGGATTTATTCCCAGAACTCAAGGTGGCTCAATATTTGCAAAACAATCAACAGGATATGTGTATCAATAAAAGAAAGAATAAAAACCATATGACCATTTCAATAGATGCAGAAAAGGCATTTGACGAAGTACAACATCCATTCATATAAAAACCCTCTGCAAAGTAGATCTGGAGGGAACATACCTCAACATAATAAAGGTCTTATATGAAAAACCTACAGCCAACATCATACGCAATGGTGAAAAATGGGAGCTTTTCTCTTAAGGTCTGGAACAAGACAAGGATGTCCACACAGGTTAATTTTTCTTCAACATAGTCCTGGAAGTACTAGCCACAGCAATTAGACAACAAAAAGAAATAAAAGGTATCCAAATTGGTCAGGAAGACGTAAAATTTTCACTATTTGTGGATGATATGATACTATATATAGAAAACCCCAAAGACACTGCCAAAAAACTACTAGAACTGATAAATGAATTCAGTAAAGTCACAGGATACAAAATCAATGTATAGAAATCTGTTGCATTTCTATGCATTCCTCTGTTGCATTCCTACTAATAATGAAACAGAGAGTAAAATTAAGAAAACCATCGTATTTACAAATGCACCAAAAATAATATTGAGGAATAAACTTAACAGACCTGTA